ATTTTGGAACGGAGTATTTCAATTATTTTTTTTAAGGAAAAGATAGAATTCAAAACCCATATATTTTTTTAATTTATTATTTTCAAATTCTATTTATTTGTGGAAAATGTATTATATCTAGATAATCTAGTATGGTTAAGTTCTCACGTCATGTATTTATCGTGTAACTATATAATTTTGAATAGATGGAACCATCTTTTTCGATTTCCCAATCAAAAAAACAAGTTAATAGTGAAAGTGAAAGTGAATCGAGTGTCCAGATGGAACAGGTCCTATACTAAGACATAGAAAAGAATATGTCTCAAATGCTCAATATTGGGCCAACAAACACTTCAATCCGCTCAGTCATAAATCATGGAACACATGTAAGCACATATACTTGCATTATTTAGTTACAAAAATATGTATATTTTGCAAAAATATTAATTAAAAATAAATTTGGAAATCTGAAGTTTGCTGGAGTTAGATCACAAGGTCAAGGTCCTTACCATGGTGTGGCAGCTTATATGAGTGTGCATGATTTGAATATTAGCAGCGATCAAGCTTCATATACTAACGTCTTTGTAGACAACAAAGTTAATTTTATCCAAACCGGCTGGATGGTAAATTTATTATTGATTGTATTATAGTTAGATTTTTAAGGTAAATTGATTATAAAATAAAATGTGTTAATTTGATTCATAGGTGAATCCAAGTTTATTTGGTGATGGACGCACATGGAGTTATGGGTTTTGGAAGGTACATCTATCGCCATATATACAACCTCTTTATTTCACATTAATAACATAAAATGATATTTGAAATAAAAACTCTAAAACAATATAAAAGCCTGTGTTTTGAATGTTAAAACAAATTGTTAAGCACAAAATATTAGATTATGTTATTTTAATTTTGTTTTTCGAACTGACTAACCAAACAATTTTAATTAATATATAAAATATATAAACTGACAGAAAAACCACATGAAAAATATAATTATATATTTTAAAATATAAATAATTCTAAAATAATTTATTATTAGTTATTCTTTTAGTATGTGTTTGTGTTTTGTCTTTATTTACATTATTTTTAACTATTATCAATTAATATAGGTTATACTAATATATTCTAAATAATGACAGGGAGCCAACGGAAAAGGTTGTTATAATTCAGTATGTCCTGATTTTGTTCAAGTGTCAAAAACCGATCTATTAAGTGGGCCTTTTCCTTATCCTCGCAAAGGAGAAGGACCAAGAGCCGTTTATCCTAGTATTCTACAGGTAATGTATATATACATATATTCTAGTAACATGTTTTGGGGGGAGTTATACCAAATGTAACCTATATGTGTTGTTTATTTACTATTAAGGATAAAGAATCAGGAAACTGATAGATGACAAATGTAAGCTACGATGGACCAGATACACATATTGGTTATTGGCCGAAAGAACTATTTGATATTATAGGTAATAGTGTGGCATGGTTGGAGTTATAGGAGCTGTCTACCAATGGGTAATGGTCATCTACCAACTAATGATGAAAATGAGGCGGCGAACGTCAAAAGTCTTGAAATCATAGATTCTAAAATTAAGATCCATGAAAGTGATAAATATAAGTTAGAGAAACTATTGGACAACGACAAATGTAATGGATTGAAAGATGGAAAAAAACGTTTTTTCAAAATCTCCACTTTGTTCACATATGGTGGTGCAGGAGAAGATTCTTGTGGAATCTAGTATTTTATAAAATTGATGTTTATGGTTATTAGAACAAATATTGTGTGCTTCATGTTTCATGTATTAAAATCTCAAATCTATGTATCAAGAAAAACTTTTTTCTCAACATGTTGATCATTTAATGTAGTGCTACAATGTTGGTACATCATTCTATTTCATTAGTTAACCAATGCATAATCTTACAAGCTAAAGAGTGGAAGGTTGATAAACTGCCA